AGAAAATATGGAGTTATTTACAAGTAATATTTTTAATTCTTGGGTCTTATGGGACATAGAAGTTAAAAATAAAGAATAATAGGATATTTTCTCCTAAAACATTAACTATGTAACATTTAATCTATTTATATAAAATAAAATCAAAATATCAACTATTCTAACTCGTGATTATCCATTTTTTTTATGGATTACTTTAAATTAAATTAGAAATGAGTGAGATTGTTTTTTTGACATCTCAGAAATGAGTGAGATTGTAAATAATTTATCTATTTTTTCAATTTTCACATCAAATGGTTGTAAGGAATTATGACCACCATGTATCAAGGTAAATGATGTCATTATATACAATCTTTTTCACAAATATATATATATATATATATATATATATATATATTTCTTTCATTTCAAAAGTAGACACTGAATGTTAATCCAAAAGAAGAGAGCATATAATGAGAATTTTAAGTGGATTCCTTACCTACGGTTTAAGAGGTCAAGTAGGACATGTGGCAATTAGGCCGGCTAAGGGGCCAGGATCGGGTTGGGCCCTCCCAGGCTTGAAGCTAGCCCAAAACCATGTAAAGTAAGATTGGAGTCGGACCCAAAAACGTGGTAATGGGGCCTGAACCCAAAAAATTTGGGTCAAGCCCGGTCGGGCGTTATGCAAACACAAGAAAAAGCTTTTACAATGGGAGCCACAGTTGGGTGGCAGACCTAAGTGCAAAGATAAGGCTAGACCTGAGTGCCATTGGCTTGGGCCTAGTCGGGTCCTTATGAACCCAAAAAAATTGGGTTAGGCTTGGTCGGCCTCGTCAAACTTTTCCAGTAGGAGCCAGGGTTAGGGGCTAGAGCCTTTGGCCCGGCCCAACTGGGCCAAGCTCGCCATCCATGCTAGTGCCCATCCATTTAACACAATTTGATCAGGAGCTCAATAATTCTACAAAAGCACCCTCTTCTAGATTGAACACGGATTACCCATTTGATGATGAGAGTTGTGTTGTGGGCTCCAGGAACTTAAATCTTTTTTTCCTTGATCAAGAACGTAAGGTTGATTTCAAACTCTTGAGATAATGACTGTAAAAAGAACAAAAATAAAATAAAAATAAAGTGCTTACTTTTAATACAAGAAGGTCTAGTGTTGTGCTATTGATGACCACACTCAAAGTTAGGGGTGGCAATGTACGCGACTCAGCAGATAGACCCCACATTGGATCTGATTATGGGTCCAAATTTTGGACTTGAAAGGTTGGGTTCGAGTCCAAAACCTGGACCCGAATACTATTTGGGTCCAGATCCAACCGGACCCGACTCGAACAATATGGTCCATATGAGGGTATTCATAATTGTTGCTAATACATTTATTTCTTATGAATTTCTAATTATTATGTAAAACAATAAGGGATGTAGGTATATGTAACATGTGAGTATTCAAAAGTGTTGTGTAATATTGTAAATGTTGCCAATGATATAAGTATATGATGGTAAAAATAAGGGCAAAAAAAAAAAAAAGCGAAACTCATTGTCATAGGGTGGCAATGGACCCGATCAGACCCAATGGTAGACTTGAACTTGAGTCAAGGTATGGGTCCAAATTCTGGACCCAAAAGCCAGACCGGACCCAATGCTACCGTTTTTCTCAAAATTCTAACCCAATTCTGGCCATCTGATTTCACATTTAAAATTAAGAGCGACAATGATGTACTTACACCAGATATGAATGGTTTTATGACATATTTGATCCCATAAACAAAAAGGTCAAAAAAGTTATTTGCCCCAAAACAATGTTACCAGTTGGCACTATAGAGCTATAACAGCAGTTGCAATTGTAATAAAAACTGATGAGTTGGTTCAAAATCGTCCGAGTTGACTCATGTCTCGCAGGCAACTAGTATGATTTCCTACCAAAATTGAATTTGATTAATTTTTGGGCTTTTTTTTTTTTAATTGTTTTCATTAAGAATGATGTTTTAACTCTTTTTTATTCAACTTTTCACACATTATTCTTCCTCCGGCCCCCTTTCATATTTACAAAAGAACATTTTGGGGTCAAAAGTATTTTCGGGCGAGATTTATGATAAAACCATTTCGAAGCTCAAGCTCCCAGTCTGCCATTTTATCGGTTTTTTCTTTCGATTCTCTACCAAAAGTTTTGAAATTTGTTTGAAAAATAATCCTTTAGATCCCTCTAGCACATATATATCATGATTTGTTGGATTGAAACCCTTTTCAAAGAGAACTACATTTGAATTTTTTGATGTCTTTTAACCTGAAATAATTCACACATTATTTTTCCTCTAGCTTCCTTTCATATTTACAAAACAACATTTTGCGATCAAAAGTATTTTAGGGCGAGATTTATGATAAAACCTTTCATATTTACAAAATAACATTTCGCGATCAAAGTATTGAGATTTATGATAAAACCATTTCGAAGCTCAAACTCCCAGTCTGCCCTTTTATCGGTTTTTTCTTTTGATTATCTACCAAAACTTTTGAATTTTTTGTTTGGAAAACTAATTGTTTAGATCCCTCAAGCAAATATATATCATGACTAGTTGGACTGAAACCCTTGTTCAAAGAGAACTACATTTGAAGTTTTGGGTGTCTTTTAACCTGAAATAAAAAAATCTTCGATTCCTCAATCGTTGTTTCAGCAAATTCATTAAAGTTTGTCTTAAAATGTTATTATAGCATATAATAAAAGCCCTAACAATTTTTTCTGAATGAAACCAAAGAAAATCGAAGATTGATTTTTTGTGATTTTTGGGGCTTTTTTTTTTTGCCATTCTCATTCTTACTTTCTTTTATTTAATTTTTTATTTTCATTTTGATTTACCTCCTATAATATGAAATAAGCGTTTTTATTTTGGATAGTTAAATTTTATGTAAATTTCTGTATTTCTGGGAAGAGTTTGTTTTGATTTTGAATACTTAAAATTTATGTAAATTTCTATATTTTTGGAAATTGTTCTCTTTTTTCTCTATTTCTTTTCTTCAACATTGGCCGAGTTGGTCATGCCAACTAAACGAGTCAACTCGATGTTTCACAAAATTCGTTAAACATTGTCTTGAAATGTTCTTATAACATTGATCTACAAAAGCCCTAATAATTTTTTTTGAAAGAAAACCATAGTTATTTTTTCCACCATTTTCATTCCTACCTTTGTATTTATTTTAACTATGTTTACCTCCTAGAATATGAAATTAAGTGTTTTAATTTTGATTAATCCAATTGTATGCAATTTTTTGGAATTGTTTTAGGCATTTTTCTCTTTTGTCTATGTCTCTATTTTAATATAGAAAAAGTTTATATAAGATTGCAACCTTAAAATCTAGAACTACATATGCACCTAAAAAATTCATCAGAAAAAGTTGTTTTAATGTTAAAAAACCCTTTAATTGATCATCTCGACCTTGAGATGTATGACTATGAAATTTTTTTTTTTTTGAATCAACATATTATCTAGACAATCCATTTTCAAGATTTTCATATATTTATAACTCTAATTGGATTGTTTAAAGTTGCAACTTTATGGAAACCACACCCTTCTAATATTGGCCGAGTCAGCCATGCCCACTTACTGAGTTGATGCAGATTTGGCACCTAACTAGTTCGGTTTCTTGAGTTGCATTTCTAATGACTTTCACCCACAAAATAAAATAAAAGGCGGAAAAAGAAAATCTAGAAAAGGAAATTAAGAAGAGAAAGTATAAGCTGAAACCATTTACTTTTGACACAGTGAGGTTATACTTACTCCTAGCCATCAAATATAAAATCAAACGATCAAAGTGTGTCATCCATTGTGTAACAATACTCAATAAAAATTTTCTCCGACTTTTTAACTCATTTTTAGTGTCCGAATTTTGAAATCTGAAAGTTAGGAATGAATGTGACCATGTGCCAAACATAAATAGTCTCTCAATATACATTCCCAAACAAAAATGTGCGTATGAGGATACTCTTCTACAAATACTGTTGTCAATCACACTTAACATCCGTCTTGTAGATGGATGTCAATGAATGGTGATCCGATCTAAATTCACAGTTAAAGGTGTTAAAATAACATTAAGAAAATCTAAACAATCCATCTTTAAAATGGATTGAGGACTCATTTAAATAGGTGAGGCCGGGTCTTATGAAAAAAACTTATCCTTCAAAGGAATTTGACAGAGTGCATTAGTGGAAGTCCATATCAGACATTTACGGGAGAATGCCATGGCTAGTTCCCGTAATATATTTTCCCATAAATTTATAATTTCGGATGAGGTTTCTATAATGCTTAGGTTTTATGAAAACAAAATAAACCTTTATCTTAAATCCTCGTCCAAAAAGCCCTTTCGGCATGGAGGCATGGAAATCTCCATGAAAGCTCTAAAATCAATTTCTAACACCAACAATGAAATTCGAAACTAAAAAAATGGTATAGATCTTGCAGATCTAAAAACATTTATTTTTAGGGTGAAATGGATAATCTCGGTAATTTGTTAGAATATATACTGTTTTAATAGCTTGAAATATTTTTTATTTTTTTCACAACGATAATGTTCAAGCCAAGATAATTGATGCAAATGTTTTCTAATGGATGAAGTTTTTGTAAGGCTTAGGCTTTGTGAAAACAAAATAAAGTCTCACTGCAAATCCTTTGAAAGCACTTTCGACAATGGAAATCTCCACGATGAATCTAAAATCAATTTTCAACACCAACAATAGAAATTGAAACTCAAAAAATGGTGTAGATATTGCGGATCTATCAACACTTTACTTTTAGGGTCAAATAGATACTTTAGATAATTTGTTATAATATATACTATTTTAAGAGCTTAAAATCTTAATTTTTTCACAATCATAATGTTCAAGCATAGATGATTGATGTAAAGTTCAAGATATTTGAATTGTAATTTTTGATGAGTTATGAAGTTACTTATTTTAATGGGGTTACAGCCCTATCAAACAATTTACCTTTTCTATTACTAGGATTGCAATTTCAATGTCACGGGGTGAGGCTTTACTTGTTTTGATAGAGCTGCAGCCCTAACAAACCAAATTCCTATAATTTAATGTAGAGCTACTTTCAGTTGTTTAAGACTGTGGGTTCAAAATTTACCGGAATTCAACTGTAAACAGTTGTTGATTGACATCGAAATCTTCAATTTTCCGGAGTTCAAAATTCCGTTGCCTTCATTTCTACTCTCTCTCTCTCTCTCTCTCTCTCTCTCTCTCTCTCTCTCTCTGCCGTGTAAACTACGGTTTCTCTTTCTTCTCACCGCGATCTGGCTCTAATCCCTGTAAATTCCACTCCGAATTGCTTCGCATTTTGAAGTTGGAGCTCTGATACTAAAAAACCATGGCCGATTCTTCAAACGAGTCATTAACTCCATCACGGGGGTGGGGAGGATGGGGCGCCTCTGCTTTCTCCGTGTTCTCTGATTTTCAAAAGGCCGCTGCTGAAGCTGCAGGAGAGATCTCACGAAATGTACTCTTTTGACCTAATTCCCAATTTTGTCTCTCGATTTTTGAGATTGGGATTTCAAAGGGGTCTCGGGTGCTGGGTTTACTCTACTTTGTTCAAAAATGTATTTCTGATTGGAAGTGGGAAGAAGTAGGGTTTTGGGGTTCACTCTTGAATTTTGGGGTCCGTTTTTGGTTATATTATTTTACTGTTTTGAATTTAGAGCTTCATCTGCTGGAAATGTTGGTTGATATGTTGAATTGATTGAGGTTATTTATTGACATAAGTAGGGTTTTATGTCTGTGAGATTTCATTTCTGGTTGGTTGTGAATGCCTAAGTTTATTGAACACTAAACGAGCGAAATAAATGCTTGTTGAATGAGCAAATGATAGCATTTATGTGATTTTTTTTTTCTACTTTTAGATGTATGTGCAATGTGATTTTGTCCGGTGCTTGTTCTTATTGTTTCCTTGTTAGAATTCTTTTTTTTGTATTTCTGTGGAGCTTTAAAACTATATGCTTTTTTATGTGATGATGCAAGTTAGGGTTAAGGATAAACTATTTTCTGTTCTTTTTAGTGCTAAATCCTTTCGTTGAGGTCTTTAATGTAAACTTGCCACTGTTTCTTTTTCTAGTAATTGCCACAAGCTTTTTGGGTAAGTAAACTGCCATATCTGATTGAACCTTTAGTTTGTATGTAATCTGTGTACTTTCTATCCTCAACACCCCATTGAAATCTTTTGCCTAGTCTTTTCTTTTCTCTTTACTTCTGGGTGCTGAACCTCATCATTTCTCAATATATATCATTACGAAATTGTTTTCCTAAGTATCATTGCCAGATTGTTTAGAAAATAGGAATACTTGTTTCGAAAATGTAGAAAATTTAGAGTATTGAAACGAGCTAATATTGAAACTGTCCACAAGTTTTAATTTTCATGTTCATCCTTCCTTCCCATTTGTGTCAGGAACTTTAGCAAACTGAGATAAGAGTTATCATTGTCAGAAAAACTGCTTAGGTTTGGTTATCTTTGAGCCTTGCCGCATCTTTGTTTCATCTTCAAAGGTGTGCCCTACACTTGCTTCATGGGAAATATTTAGTCCAAAGCACATCTGATAAGTGTGATAGGACTTTACAATTTTCTTGACTTGAAGGGTGTGGGATTTGTATATCCATAATACACTGGGCTAGGTTGAATATGCCATAAATTTTAAGTTACTTAGGATAATTGTAATTAATTTTCTTTCAGTTATGAAAGAACTTCATCAATGATATATGTTACTCAGGACAGTGGTGATAAGGAAACACTTTGGAACAAATCTTGCAAGCATTGATCCCCTATAAGATTTCTTAGTCTTCTCTAAGGACCTTAGGTCCACAGACGTTATGGAGATCACTGAATTTTAACAAGTATACCTGTGCAGTTAATATATAAGCTTTCACATGGAGATAATTACATATGATCATTATCAGCTATAAACATGTTTGCATGTGAGGCTAAAACCTCCTAATCCTTGCTCGAAATCTGGAAATGTACCCCTTAGGAATTGTAATATTTAGTATACTTGAAGAATTGTAATACATGTTGATTCTGAAAACGTCTAATATTATTGATTATGATTTTGAAACAATCTGAGTTGTCAGATGCAAGGTAGGGAAATTCATTTGAGACTCAATTTTCAATTGCTCCATTAAAAGTATATGATTCACTGATGAAGATATGTTCTCCTTATTGAACCAGGCTGTTGAAGCTGCCAAAAATGCTGCCAAAGATATTTCAGATCTTCAGAATGAAGTTAAAAAAGGTTCAGAATCTGACAAGGAAGAGAAAGAATCTGAGAAAGTGGAAACTGAAGAAGTTCCGGAAACAGAGGAGGATAAGCGGCGAAGATCTGCCTTGGATAAGTTGGAGAAAGCAAGTGAAGATACCCTATTGGGGCAGGCAAGCCTCCCTAACTCCTTTACCTAAAAGAAGATTACAAAAAATGGAATCTTTTACATATCAAAGGTTACGAGCCCTGCTGTGCACATTATTTAACATTGCAGCAAATTGTGATCTATACGCTTTTATTACCTTTCCAACATTCTGTATCTTTCAGTTGTCTCTGGTTAAGCTATGTTTATTTAACTGTTTTTTTTTCTCTCTCTAATTTTGCATTACCTGACCTGTAACAATTTCTCCTCTTTCTATCTTTTTTTGACATTGGATAGTCCCAGCAGTAGACAATAGTCACCGATTCTATTTGCCCCTCTCTCTCTCTC